GAGCAACACATCTTGATTGCATGTTTGATCAATTTCAGATTGAAGAAGTTGGTAGAATTCTTCTATTTCATCCTCACTGGCTTTAGTGGTTATTGCATAAATTTGAATTATAGTGGTATTAACTGGTCTTCCCTTTAGGCACATAGATATTATCTTATCACAGACAGCGTTGTACTTCATGACTGATCTGGGTACGTTCTTTTTGACGATGAATGCAACATTTTGCTGTAGCTTCCAAATTTTCTACATATATAACTTTTGAAAAAAGAAAAAACACAGTAGCAACATGCCTTAAGAATAATAGAATAAAAGTCAGAATTTGGTATCTCAGGAAAAATACAGCAGTTATTGCTGGCACTTTTGCTTAAATAACACGATTTATAAATGAAATCTATTTTTATGACTTGTCGTTAATAGAGACTTAAATTTCCTGTTCTTAAATTTGAAAGTCATTCTGAACAACTAAATATTTTAAATGTGACTACATAAAAATTGACAATTCCTTAAAAAATGGTATAAGGAAAGTCAAAAAAATTAGGATGGATAAAATATGTCAGAGAATTAATATTAATATCTGTAGTCTGTAAAAAGCTTAGACAAATTCAATTTCTGTATGACTTACAGAAAAGTAAAAATAAAGACATAGCTATATAGAGGGAGGTAGAGAGAGAAAAACAAGATAGCTAGACAGAACTTCTTAGATTTGGGGATCTTGTTAAAATGCAGATTCCAGTACAGTAGATCTGAGGTAGAGTCCAAGATTTTGTGTTTCTAACAAGCTCCCAGGTGATGCCCAGGTTGCTGGTCCAAAGATCACACTCAGAGTAGCAAGGAGCTAGACAGATACATAAAGCATGACTGGGAAAATGAATGCAAAGATATGCTGAATGTTTGCCATAATCCCTTTCTTTCCTTCAATCTTTTCTATTCTTTTCTTTTCTTTTTTGGAGCAAAGTCCTGTCTAAGACCATGGACAAGTGATTGTTCTGAGGCCCCAAGACATGATCTCCGCATTCAGTATCTTTCCTGGTCCAGGGAAACTAGGCTCTGTCCCAGAAGTGACTTTTAGTATCCCATGTGTATCTGGACAGACCCATTGGTTAAAGGAGCTGATTGGGGTCCAACAGCCCAGACCATCACCTGGAAGTCCTGTGCTTTATCTGACAGCAGCTTTCTGGATGTGCCTTTCTTTCGTTTGCTTCCAGGATGGTAGGGGGGAGGATGGGAAGGTGGCTTCCGCGGGGTGGTGGGAGCCCTGGGGTCTTGGGCACCGCTCTGGTCCAGAAAGGGTTCCGCCTCATCTCCAGTGAGCCCCTGGTCCTCGGTGTCGTCCTCTCCACCTGTGTCTGCAGGGAGAGGACACTGATAAGGGCTGGTCCCCTGCCCATGGGACACAACCTGGTAAGAAAGGACCCACCACCCACCTCTTGCACCTCTCCTGCCCCTTCCCCATCAGCTGACCCAAGATGGATGAGAAGAAAGAACAGCTGTTAACAGCTGAAATGTGAGGGCAGTAAGTCCAGTTAGTCAGCAGGAAGAAAGTAAGAATGGCCCTCGCTCCCTGCACCCAGGTCTTGCAGGATGAGCCTCTGGCTGTGTCTTCTCACTCTAGTGGGACAATGGTGATAGTGAGACAGTTATGGTGGTAGGATGGGACAGCTCTGGCCAGTGTCTCACCCGCAGGAGCCAACCACTTCTTTTCGGAGTATCTCGTGTCCACGGTGCTGTCACTGAGCAGAGACCAAGTCTCGGCCCGGCTCTGTCCCCCACCTGGCACATGGGCAGGGCAGAGCCCAGGAGGGACAGGTGGGGGCTGAAGTGGAAGAAGCCAGCACCTGCACTTCAACCCCAGCCCCACTGCCCACTGCCCACCTGCCCACCTGCCCCAGCCTGCCACAAAGCTGCCTGAACTGTGTCTGCTCACCACCTTCCAGACAGGACTTCCCTGAGTCTCTGTGAAATCCACTTCAAAGTGGATTAGAGGCCAGAGAATTAGAGGCCCTCCAGCCTCCCCACCCTTTGCTGCTGGGAACACCCCTTTTCCCTCCCCTCACCTATTCCAACTGTAGCCCCTTGCTCAAGATTCCTGAGCTTACCCCAACCCAGACTGGTCTCCCCATCTCTAGGTTTGGAAAGTCTCTCCCCCAATACACTGACCCCTGTTCTGCATCTCCAGTGACAGGCTGAGGGAGCTCTCGGTGAAAACAAACTGTTTAGGTGTTAATGAATCTGCTTCCAGCAGCCTTTACCATGAGAGAAAGTTGAGAGTTTCACAGATGATGGCCCATCTGTGTAGCTTTCCTCCCCACCCAGCTGTCTGGAGAATGCAGAAGCTACCTGGGCTCTCCTCCCACGTCCACTACTAGCAATTCAAACTACCTGAGCTCATCCTCACTCAACAAGCCTGTTCACTGGAGGCAGGTGAGGAAAGTTGGAGACAACCTCAGAACTAAGACACAAATAATGAAACGTAGATCCAGAGAGTGAGGGGCTGACCCAAAGTCCCACAGCTACTCAATGTCAAAGGCACAACTGGAACCCATGTTCCCTAACTCCAGGGAAGCTAACTGCTTTGTCACATGCTGTCCCGATTGGGATTGGTACTGATTCCAATGTCCCAGTAAAGAGCAGGAAAGCATGAGGCTCTGTGGAGTGGGCGGGGCCTCAGGAATTGCCTGAGACAAGCCCCACACCCCCACAGGCAGGTCCCCTAATGCCCCTCCCACCTCAGAGCTGCACCATCCAGCCTAGTCCCTTCCTGGACAGTAGTCTTCACGCTAATACCAGTGATCCCTAAGGGAGCATGTCTCCTGGCCCTTGCTTCAGTGTGGGAGACCTTTCTGCCTTGAAGGCAGCCCTTGTGGCTTCCAGATACCATAACCTCTCTTCTCTAGGCCTGGGCAGTCCCCAAACTGGGGAAGCCATCAAAGGCTGGCTGAGGCCACTGAAGAGCCCAAACCCCAGGCCCAGGTACCCCAGCTAGGGCAAGGGTGTGCTCCTCACTCACCAGCTACCAAATCCAAGTCAGGTAGAGTTGGAGAAGGTTCCAGAGGAATAGCGGGTGGGAACAGCGGCACAGCTCCAGGGAGCGGAGTATAGGACACCTGGAGGACCAGCGAGGCCTGCAAGAGACGGGCAGGAGGCACAGGTTCATGTGTTGGCCTCACATCAGACCACTGCATCCCTGCCACCAGGGAATCGGCTCTGACAGGGATCAGGCATACAGGAGGCTATAACAAAACCACCCACCGTGACTCAGAACAGTCAAGAGGCTACAAACACAGAACCTGGAGTCAGGTTTGAATGCTAGCTCTGCTAATCAGGAGCTGTGTGACCTTTGGCAAGACCTGTAACCTCTCTGTGCTTCAGTTTCCTGATCTGTAAAATGGAGGGAGGATAGTAATAGCAATGACGTCTGTCTCAGAGGGTCAAAATGAGGATTAAATTACTTGGCAGAGAACATAGTAATTATCTGTAAGTGAATCAGGGGCCCAACCTCTTCTGCAGAAATTTTCAGTGCTCAGTCCTAGTGTGGCACTGTAGGATAAGCACTGGGCTGCAAAGTCGGTTTGAACCACAAGGTAGGCAGTTCAAACCCACCCACCGCACCTTGGAAATCCATAGGGTCGCTATGGGTTGGAACTGAGTCGTACATACTTAACAATAACAAGCTTAGGCCCCTGTTCAAGAAAAGTCTTCCTTGGCCCATCTGATCATCCAAGCTTTGCTTCTTCACAGATAGCTCAGCTTTGTGCATGCTCGTCACCTATCTGGGTCCTCTTCCCTTCTAGAAGCACTCCTTTCCCTTGCCCTTGCCCTTGTCCCAGCCCAAGAGCTCCAGCTCTGATCACACCACCCACAGGGACAGGGAAGGCTGACTGTATTGTTCCAAAGTGCACCTGGACCTGGAGAAAGAGCACTATTCCCACAGGCTCCCCAGCCTTGCCAGCCAGGACCTGGCTGAGCCCTTCCCTGGTACCTCAGGTCCAGAAAGCCCCCTAAGGAAGCCTTGTTTTTCTATTTTGTTATCTTCTGTTTTATTATCAAAGTAATACATGTTCTACTGAAGAAAGTTTGGAAAGTGAAAAACCTTAATGAAGAAAAAAAAATGCAAGAGAAAACAAACAGCCCATAATATCGCTACTATTCACATGTTGGAGTTCTGGTGTAGTACTGTGGGTTAATGTGCGGGAGTGCAAAGTCATTTGAATCACAAGGTTGGTGGTTCAAGCTTACCAACTGCGCCTCAGAGACCCTATACATGTTGCTGTGAGTTGGAACCAACTTGATTGCACCTAACAACAAAGTTCACATTTTGATATAATTGTGTCCAGTCTCTTTAAACAAATATCACACAGTGTATAATATAACATACAATACCCTAGATCCCTGGTGGCACAGTGGTTAAGCGTTTGGCTGCTAACTGAAAGTTCAGAGGTTTGACCCACCAGCTAGCTGCTATGTGAGAGAAAAGGCCTAGTGATCTGCTCCTGTAAAGATTTGTTGTTGTTATGTGTTGTCGAGTCAGTTCTGACTCAATAGCCAGCCACCCAGTAGAGGGTTTCCAAGGAGCAGGTGGTGAGTTTGAACCACTAACCTTGTAATTCAAACAGACCTTGGGTCCTGCACTTACTTATTCTACAGTGCCACACCAGGACTTCCAGTACAGATCCTTGTTGTTGTTATGTGCCGTTGAGTCGGTTCCGCCCGTCCTATACAGCGACCCTGTATAGGATTTCCAAGGAGCGGCTGGTGAGCTTGAACTGCTGACCTTGTGGTTCAAACTGACTCTGCAGTTCAGCACATTAACCCACAGCACCACACCAGGACTCCCTTGTAAAGACTGGTGTTGTTGTTGTTGTTGTTTTGTGCCGTAGAGTCATTTACAGCCTAGAAAACCTAGGGGGCAGTCCTACTCTGTCCTACAAGGTTGCAGAGTCAGAAGTGACTTGACGGCAGCACACAACACATTTTCTTTTACTTAAAGTTAGACCATAAGCATTTTCCTATGTTTTGACGAACCTTTTATAAACATCATTTTTAATGATATAGAATCTGAGCAGCCTTAGCATAATTCACTGGACATTTCAACTCAGTAAGGTTGTTGTTGTTGTTGTTGTTGTTAGGTGCCACTGAGTCAGTACTGACTCATAGCGACCCTATGGACAACAGAACAAAAACACTGCCCGGTTCTGTGCCAATCTCACAATTGTTGCCATGCTTGAGCCCACTTTGCCAATCCATCTTGCTGGAGGTCTTCCTCTTTTTCTATGATGTTCCACCTTACAAAACATGATATCCTACTCCAGCGATTGGTCCCTCCTGACAGTACGTCTGAAGTATGAGAGACAAAGTTTGGCCATCCTGGCCTCCAAGGAGCACTCTGGCTGCATTTCTTCCAACACAGATCTGTTGGTTCTTTTGGCAGCTCAAGGAACTTTCAAGATTCTCATCCAACACCATAACTCAAAGGCATCAATTCTTCTATGGTCTTCCTTATTTACTGTTCAGCTTTCGCATGCCTATGAGGTTTTTGAAAATACCATGGCTTGGGTCAGGTGCACCTTAGTCCTCAAGCTGACATCTTTGCTCTGCAACCCTTTAAAAAGGTCTTGTGCAGCAGATTTGCCTAATGCAATATGTTGTCTGATTCCTTGACTGCTGCTTCCATGAGTGTTGATAATTGATCCAAGAAGAATGAAGTCCTTGACAACTTCAATCTTTTCTCCATTGATAAGAATGTTGTTTATTGGCCCAGTGGTGAGGATTTTTGTTTCCTTTA